GACCTTCGCTAGCCCTAGGATTATTCTTGTGTCTTGCCCACCATATACCTGTTTGCCATTTGTTCGACCCTGCCTGTGTTTCTGACCTCTCTGCTGAATAAAGCTTGCATATGGATCCGCACGTCTCGCGTCTTGTCAGCCCCGTAACAAATATATTCTGTAGAATTTTACAGTAAAATTTTCTTTATTTGGGCTAATTTGATGCTTTCAGAAACAAATACTAGAGCAGAGGTACTTAATGCTAGAACCCACTTTGACATCTTGAGAAATTTTAAAATGAAATTATGAAAATAATATAACAATCATATAATGCAGTATAATCATTTTGGATATAGGCCTATGTATCAGCAGGGGTGGTTCTAGGGTGAGCAGATATCTGGGGCTTAGCCCAGAGACATCCATGTATGTGTCAGAATACACAGGATACACTTCAAATAAAATGTTTAAAAGGTACATTGGCTAAGTGGCTTAATTTTTCCTTAAAGTATACAAGTATATTTAAACATAAGGTTCTATAGCATACACATGTTTTTTAAGGAGCTCTTGCATGCATTAACACTGCACTTACAAATTGCAAATATTACAAACTAAATTACAAATATTATGAGATCGATGTATTAAATATAAAATTTAGAACACAGAAATATGAAATGATAGAAAAAATAGAACGATACTTTTAAAAATGAGACTAAAATTGCCAGTAGGTGCCTGCAAGCCACAGTCGTTGAGTCATTTATTCAATCAATTTGTTCAAAACGGCCGATTCATTCAGGAAGTAAGAAACTGTTTTTATGAATGGGTCAGTGAATCACTGATTCAAAAACACGTTCAAAAACGCAAATTCATTCAGTAACGAGAAACAGCTGTGTGCAGAGAAGCACAACATGGCTTTGTTTAGAACCATTTTCGCGAAATGGAGCAAAAAGACCATTTTCTCTATGATTTAAATCACTTAATATAAATTTTTTGTTTATTGAATTGTTGCCCTGAAACTTAGAAAAGTCTGCCACAGACCATGATAAATGCTAACCAAGCTGTTCATATAATCGCTTTAAATGTGTGTGTGTGTGCGTCCTAGTAAGTCAATATTTGTTGCTATACAGTAACAATAATCTAATTTTGACAGATGGTGAGATTGGTATTATGAAGTTATACTGTAAGTTACAGATAGAAGCAGCAGCATTTTGCTGGTTAAGTGCAAGTAAGAAACTGTTTTTATGAATGGGTCAGTGAATCACTGATTCAAAAACACGTTCAAAAACGCAAATTCATTCAGTAACGAGAAACAGCTGTGTGCAGAGAAGCACAACATGGCTTTGTTTAGAACCATTTTCGCGAAATGGAGCAAAAAGACCATTTTCTCTATGATTTAAATCACTTAATATAAATTTTTTGTTTATTGAATTGTTGCCCTGAAACTTAGAAAAGTCTGCCACAGACCATGATAAATGCTAACCAAGCTGTTCATATAATCGCTTTAAATGTGTGTGTGTGTGTGCGTCCTAGAAAGTCTGCATATAATACCATGATTAAAAGTCTATATTTGTTGCTATACAGTAACAATAATCTAATTTTGACAGATGGTGAGATTGGTATTATGAAGTTATACTGTAAGTTACAGATAGAAGCAGCAGCATTTTGCTGGTTAAGTGCTGGTTTAATAGAAATTATTTTAAAGCACATGAAAACTCTTGATGACATGTCTCCCAAGACATGGTAATGAAAACATTCGGGGCTTCAGCCCCCTTAGCCCACCCCTAGTGCTTCCCCTGTTTATCAGTTCATTGCTTTAAAATAAGGCTTATGGTATACTCTTAAAAATAAAGATTCTTTAGATAATAAAAAAATAAAGATTCAGGCATTAATGGTTCAGTGATGAGCTGTTAAACCATATGAAACCTCTCCATTGCACAAAATGTTCTTGATAGTAGAAAAATGTTTTACCCAAAGAAAAAAAATTGTTCTTTTAAGAAATGTTCACTGAAAGACTCATTTTGGGGATCCCAAAATGGTTCTTCAGTGGGTGGCATTACTGTGAAATCCCCTTTTTTGAACCTTCATTTTTTTATAGTATAAGAATAAATGAACCATAAACAAAGATGTGGTGTGCACAGATAAAGAGAAAATATATCCTTCTTTGTGGCACAAGAAGCAAAAGCAGCCACTTAAGCAATGATTCACTGACATGGAACCTGCAGTTCAGTAAGTGAGTCATGTTAATTCAGTAGTAGTAAGGATTCATTGACATGGAACTTCAGTTTACAAAGTGAGTCATACTGTGTGTTGGTTCAGTAGTCACTCTTGACCGATTCGGTGAGTTCATTCATTGGATTCGTCAGACTGAATCAAACCGATAACGCCTGGTTCTCCTGAGTTGTAGTGCTCTTAGCTCTGAGCTGATTTTACCATATTTCTATCATGACAACTCTCGGGAAATTTAAGCATGGCAATGGATATGACAATGTTATTGTATTTGGTCTTGGCGGAATAGATCTGCTATGCTGCTGAATTGTTGCTGCTGTTGGTTATTGCTGTTGTTGTAGATTATTTCTGCTGCTGCAAAGCAAGTACAGGAACTTGCTAATGCCAGTACATATGCCGATATGGTGCTGTGAGTACTTAAGACATACTGCTGCTGCACAAATAGCATATAATAACCCATAGCAGATCTATACAGGTGCAGCTGGGGAAGGTGGAGGGTTTCAGAGGAACTCTGAAATCGCGCTGCATGCTTTAGTGAAAGTTAACCAGCCATATAAATGTAATATGCGTAATGCTGAATTGTTGCTGCTGTTGGTTATTGCTGTTGTTGTAGATTATTTCTGCTGCTGCAAAGCAAGTACAGGAACTTGCTAATGCCAGTACATATGCCGATATGGTGCTGTGAGTACTTAAGACATACTGCTGCTGCACAAATAGCATATAATAACCCATAGCAGATCTGTACAGGTGCAGCTGGGGAAGGTGGAGGGTTTCAGAGGAACTCTGAAATCGCGATGCATGCTTTAGTGAAAGTTAACCAGCCATATAAATGTAATATGCGTAATGTGTAAAATGTAATGCGTATGCATTATGCAATATGAACCAATCAGCTTGTGCCAAGTAGTCTAACACTGTGAATATCATCAGTTTGCGGTAAGGACCCATCAGCCTGTGCCATCTAGAGTTTCATGACAGAACTTGGAATTTAAATCAATTCTGTGAATTTTGAAAATTTTGGAATGAAAAAACATAAAAAATCCCCAACACCGTTTACATCAGAACTCTAAGAGCCTTGTTAATCTGCAAATGAGAAAATTTAGTGATAAACCAAGGTCACAAAAGGCATTTTAAACTGATCAATTTGTATTTTTTTCTATAACCACCACTTCAAAGAAAAATAGCATTTTGTTTTCTCATTGCAGTGGCTGGTTTGGAGGATGAAATGGATACAGTGCATCTAAACCTGACAAGAGGATATGGTGGAGAGGAGGAAGAAAAAGATGGGGGGGTGTGTCAGGCTTTAGAGCCACTAAATCCCATTGTTAATTTCAGTTTTCTATGGTGCTTATGTTCTTATGAAAACAATACAATTTCCTCTGGTGGCATTAACCTCCCTCGTCCTAATAGCCGCCTCTGTCCTTGGTACTGAAAATGTCAAAATCCGATTTAGTTTGTAAGGTTTGCAAATGAAAGCTTGCTTTTTCATGGATGTAAACTGACATACCTTGACATTTGCAAATTAGGGTGTGAGATTCACTTGGGAATGTGTGCGGGCATCTCTTAAAAGGCTTGGTTTTACAAATTAGATTGACATTGGCCAGGTCACACCCTTTTGTTTTTCACTAGCAGTGTTATTTCTTGAGAAATTTTGATATAAAATGCTTTTATGGAGCGTTTAACACATATAATAACCAGCATTTTTGCTCACCTGTATTGGTCTGGTATCTTATACCCTCTGAAGGGTATTATGACGCAGAAGATGCTGGTGTTAAGCAGCAGATGGTTACGCTCTTTGTGACTGTGTCTTACAGTAGCAGATGCTGCTGGTATGAATGAAATTATTTACAGAGGAATAGAGGAGTGTGTTTCACTCTTTAATCCCTGAGAGATGGCACTGTGTTCCCTGTTCTATTGTTGTCCTGTCTGCCCTTGAGCTCATCTCACTGTGAAGCACTCCTGGCCATCAGTACTGGCCCATCAGACTGGCACAGAGAGGGACTGGTTGGTTTGGCAGTGTGAGAGAGCAGGAACCACAGTGCCAATGTGGGGCGGCTATCAGTTGCCACAGTGAACAGTCGGGGCTCAGGACATCTGCCAAGCTGGTTATCACAGACCTTAACACAGACCTATGCCGCACTCGTTGATTGTAATAGTGTTTGAGGTGGACAGGTTGTCATTAAATCCACTTAAATACTTAAATCCTCTCTGCATCAGCTATGTGTTTGGAATGTAACAGGTATCTTTTGTTGTATGCTGCCCTCTGGTGGTGACAGAAACATATGAAGAGCTTTTCCTGTACTGATGTCGAGTGACCATTATTGGAAAAATTCAGATTTCTCCCCTTTTCGCAGGTGTGTGTTTGCCGTGCTTTGTGGATGTGGTTCCAGTTAAGAATGAGGATGGTTTAGTCATCATGTTCATCCTGAACTTTGAGCTGGCAGATCAACAGGACAGACCCCTCGACAGCTCACCGGGCAGAGACATCAACCCAAAACACACCATCCCATGGCTCTCTAAAGGTACTCAGATGGGACAGATCTGATTCATTATGTTACATTATTTTGAATGTTACATTATTTTGTCTGTCTGTCTGTCTGTCGGTCAGCTTAAAATGCTATGTGTTTATCAATTCAGAATGACTGGCTCTTAAGTAATTTAAGTTAAAGGTGCAATAGGTGATTGTCTTCAGAATAATTTTTTGTTATGCTGGTTGAAAGTCTCTTCACATCCCGATAGCAATCATTAAGTTAAGTGGTCTAAATGTATTTGTTTGTATTTATATATTCTGTGGAAGGTGTAGGATCAAGAAATGTTCGTCTAATCAAAACGTTCGGTCCGAGCGTTTTAATATGCTTTCCTACCTGCCTGTCAACGTATGTATCTGCATACCTCTGCGCACCCGGTTCGCGTAGACATGATACGTCATCAGCGTGTTCACTCACGATGTGCAGACAGAGCGAGAATGGCAGACAAACATCAACAACCCGATCTTCCTTCCTGATATTGTAGTACTTTTAAAGTTTTCTCACCGGTGAATGACACATGATGTAGCCCAGCGGTTCCGTCCTCGCGATTCAGATAACCAGCTCGTTTGAAGTGAGCTACGTGCATGAACAGTGTTCCGATATGATCCCTACACAGTGTTCATTGCTCCTTACTCCCTGAGCAGGGGAAATCCGTTGAAGTTTACTTCACTTCGGAACATGGGCTGGAATTGGGAACCGCTGATGTAGCCTATTGTAATGTTGTCTCTGGTATTCTGGTCTGTGAGCGTATGCGTTCAGGGTTGTGGCTTTGGATGGCGATTGCGGGGAGGGTGGGACGTTCGCTTTCAGTGCTATCAGGCTTAAGTTAGCATTTTCCAAGATCTCCTACTGCACCTTTAAGTAATTTATTTAAACAATGGGTTGGTTACTTGTCCTGTGATGAACACCATTTTTTCCCCCTGTTAAACACAATTTTATACACATTGTTGAATGCTTTTCTTTAGAGATCCACCAAATAGTGGTATTTATTGATAGACTCATTTTTGAAGAAACAATTGGTGTGAATAAGGTGTAAAAATAGCATAAATATTGCCACAATCCATTTTATGCTTTTAGAGTCAATCATTCACTAGCAAAGCATCTATAACTTCATAATATAATAGAATATTTATATGCTGCTTGTAAAACATTTTATGTTGCCAGAATACACACCTATTTTTAAATGAGCTTCAATGAAGGTGCTTTCAGGCTACATTATAGTTATGGCATTTATGGGACTCCAATTCATGAGCTACCATCACTGTGTTTGAGTAACCTAATGTAATAATGATCTGACAAAATACTTAAATTCCTTACTCTTGGATATTTCCTCAGCAAGAAGACACCGTCTCAGGTTGCCTCTGCCTTTGCTGCGTTCCCTGAGTGGCAGTAAACAGTCTCTGCATGAAGATGCTGAAAAAGGCTACGTGCAGCTGATGCCCCATATGGGCCATGAGTCAGTAGCCCTGGACAAACTGCTCTCCCTGCCTGAGCGTTCTGCATTCGGAGGATCTCAGCTGTTTATGTGGGAAGATAAGGCTCAAAATGAGCCTGAAAGTGAGCCACAGCCATCAGAAGTGTCCCCTCCCCTGCCTCAGGGCTTCTCTCAGTCCTCCCCTCGTCTGCACAACCTCACCTCAGAGGCATCTCCGTCCAGCTGCAGCATGGCACACAGCCACTCCTGCGAGAGCCTGTGTGGCATGCGGCCCTCACCCTCCACCAATGACTTCAACTGGGACAGGAAACTGCCCGTCAGACCCAGTAGCACAGGTAATGATTCAACCAGTTGACCAACTAGGTATTCTAAATTGTGTTGCAAAGAAAGAGTGATAAGAGAATAGCACCAAGATGAATGACAGTCCAGTAAACAGTTTAATGGTCATTATAAAAAATATGACCATTGAACAGTTGCAACTGACCAGTCAGAATGAAGTATTCCAGAGAGACGTGTGATAATTGAAACTAAACACAGGCAAAGTAATAGATTAGATTAATTATATTTTTGCTTTATCCTCTTCCAGGTGCCATGCACCGCAAAGCTAGCTTGCACAACGCTACTTCCGACTCAGATCTCATTCGGCTCCGGACCTCAGTTCAGGGCCCCCGAATATCACACAGCTTAATGGATATGAAACCGGATCCCTTAATTGCTGTTCCACCTGGTGAGATTGACATCATTGCCCCGGGCAAACTGATAGACCGGACCCATAATGTGACCAAGAAAGTCACTCAGGTGAGGTTGAAACACTTTTCTGACCAAAAAGCTTTGTGACTTATTAACAAATTTTTTTTTTTTTTTGAGAGAGTGGCTCAATGACAGAACTGCTCCATAAATAAATTACACAGCGCTCTGTTTTTTTACGATTACAAAAAGGTTTAAAAGTTCAGTTTTTTGGGGTTGGTCTGTCTCAGCGGTCTAACAGCACTTGTCAATGTCAAAATGATTGAGATTGCCATTCAAGTCAAAGTAGGCTGGGTTTACTTTTTACAGAGGCAGAGCGCAAATTCCAGCATGAAGCGTCAGTTTAACGTTGAAAGAGAATAGATAGAAATAGAAATCCCGCTGGACCAAGCCCAGGAGGATGCCATTCCTCTGGTGGAGTGGGCCCTCACACCTATAGGACACTGCAAGCCCGAGGCGTAAGCCAGGGCTAAAGCATCCACTGTCCAGCGAGATAGTCTTTGCTTCATACCCGGCAGCCCTTTAGAATGGCCTCCGAAGCATACAAAGAGCTGCTCTCAGTGCCTAAACAGGCCAGAGTGCACAATATACACTCTTAAGAGCTCGGACCGGGCAGAGTGGATTAGGACCCTGCTCACCTTCTTAATTGGAGAACAATAAAAGGCTGATGACTTGTGCTCTGAATGGAGTGGAGTGCAATTTCTGCACATAGCCGTGTCTTGGTTTGAGGACAACTCTACAGTCCAAGACAGGAAGCACTGACTGACAGTGCTTGCAGGTCACCCACTTGCTTGACCGACGCTAAAGTCAGAAGGAGGGCAGTCTTAAGCGACAAGTCGGCCGACTAGAGCGGCTCAGAGGGAGGGCCCCGTAGGGCCCTGAGGACTATAGATAAGTCCCAAGTTGGCACAGTATGAGGGCGAGGTGGATTCAAACTCCAATCTCTCCTCAGGAACTTAACGACTAGGTCGTTTCTGCCGATTGACTGGCCAGCCATGAGAGAATGATTCACCGCAATGGCATACAGGTGAGTGCTGGGCCAATCGTGGGCCAGAGCATCTCGCTGTTTCAAAAAGTAAATTGGGCAGTGAAAGTTGTCTTCTGATGCAAAGAGGTCCACCTCTGCCCTGCTGAAGACAGACCAGATCATTTGAACCATTTGGGGATGTAGTCTCCTGGAGCCACATTGCCCCTGGACAGCATGACTGCCCTTTTGTTCAGTCTGCCCAGCACATAAACTGCTCTCAGTGAAAGGAGTTTGCATTGTGCCCATAAAAGGAGTCGTCGAGCCAACCTGTAAAGGGAGTGTGAACTGCAACCGCCTTGGTGATTGATAAAGGCTACCGCCGTCATGTTGTCCAAACAGACCAGGACATGGTGCCCTCTTAAGGCCGGCAGGAAGGATTTCAGAGCTAGAAAAACCGCCATCTCGAGGCAGTTGATGTGTAAGCGTTGCTCCAGGTTTGACCAGGAGCCGAACGCCGGTCTGCCCTCGTACAGAGCTCCCCAACCCGAGATGGAGGCATCTGTCGTGACCACCTTCCTTCTGGAGGTCAGTCATAACAGGACGCCTGATTGAAACAGGCAAGGAGTTTTCCAAGGGGCAACAGCTCTGATGCAGCGGTGGGTTACCCTGAGATGAAAACTTCCCAGGCGCCAAGCGTGGGACGGGACATGGGCTTTGAGCAAATACTGGAGGGGCCACACATGAAGCAGGCCCAGAGGAATCATAGAGGAATTGGGCAACATGAGGCCGAGCATCCTCTGGAAAGCCCTGAGGAGATGTCAAGTCAAATCACCTTTATTTGTATAGCGCTTTTAACCATACAGATTGTGTCAAAGCAGCTTTACAGTATGAAAATAGGAAAATAGTGTGTCAATGCAAAAGGACAATAGTAAACACTCAATTTTCAGTTAAAGGCAGTTCATCATTGAATTCAGTGATGTCATCGTCCAGCTCAGTTCAGTTCAGTGAACTGAAGTGAAGGGATGTGAAGTCCCCACTTTGAATGACGCCGTTAGATGGACTACCTCAGTCCTGCTGAACAGGGTTTATTCAGCGGCTGGCCAGGCTGGCTCAACACTCGGGTTCTTTGCCGGAACACGTCCACTCTTCTGCATCTGAAGCCATCAATGACATAGAGTCATCCACGACAGCTTCTTCCTCAGACCCACCGAAGGAAATCAAGGCGCTCACAGCCAATGAGGGGCTCTGATCCTCACATGTGAAGTACATAGGCAAGTCGAGGCATTGCGGGGAGAGTGAAAACACATGGGACCTGTGCCGGCGTAAGTTGAGCCCGGTGTTTGAGCCCCTTGCTCCGCTGTTTCTTCCTACTAGGGGAGGGAGGAAATGGGAGAGCAGGCCAGAGAGGACCGAAGGTGATCCACGAATGGAGAAGAGCGAGACTCATGCTCTCGCAGTGAGAACATTCTGTCCTTGTGAGAGCAGCTTCTGTGTGGGTGCTGCCCAGACAGGCGATGCACTCACCGTGCCCATCTACATCGTGCATCTACATCGTGCAATCAGTATCAAAGCTATTTTATCAATAAAAGTGGTGGGGCAGCGTTGATAAGTGTCACCTAAGATTTTTTTTTGTTTAAATAAATTAATTTTATTCAGCAAGGATGCTTTAAAAGTAACATGGTTTCCAAAAAAAATAAGCAGCACAACTGTTTTCAACATTGATAATGATAATAAGCAAATGAGCATATTAGAATGATTTCTGAAGCATCGTGACACTGGAGTAATAGCTACTGAAAATTCAGCTTTGCCATCACAGGACATTTTAAGATATATTAACATTTTATTTTAAATTGTCATAATATTTCCATAATATTTCCTAATAATACTGTTTTACTGCATTTTTTCAAATAAATGCAGTCTTGGTGAGATTTCCTTCAAAAAAAAAAATCTTACAGACTCCAAACTTTTGAATATATTTATGCACATATGTTATAACCACTTCTGTCAATTGGCCAAGCTGACACGCTTATCTGTAAGAATGAAAAATATCAGCTGCTTAATTAGTCTGACTGATATATATAGGCCTGTCACTACATAGGACATTGTTATTTCACCCTCCCTGGTATGATGTAGTAGATGATACAGTGGTTTTTAGCAGTTTTTTATCCAGTTGGTGGCAGTAAAAACAGCTTTTATGTAATACATATGCGTGTAGCACTGTAAATTTAGATGGGATTTTAAACTGTGGTCTCAGGGCATTCTCCAAAGCAATGTAAAAAACTGTAGTTAATGCACATGCAATTAATTCGTACAGTCTTTTATAACTATCCCATAGGAATATCTCATACCTGGGGTTAATGCAGCATCCTGTTTAGGGTCATATAGATGACAGCTGTTTATGGCTGGCTGAACAGACACTTGCCCTCCATTCCTGTTTGAAGGGCATTCTAACAGAGTGCAGAGGGAATGAGGTCATGCCAAAGGTCACATGGCACATGCCGCGAGGTGTCCTTCCATTTTCAGCTGAGTTATCTGGATGCCCCATGACAGAAAGATCTATATCTCCACAAATGAGTAGCCATTAGCACTCATGTGGATGTGTGTTCAGAGATGCTTAGTAATTTGTCACTGTTTACATAATCCGTAGTTTCACATTTTTAGGTTTAGATTTTAATATAAGTGAAGTTTGTACATCCATGATATATCTAAAAATTATTCAAAATAAACAAAAGGTGATTTTTTTTTTTTTTGGTCACATCTTTTTCAGTGTGTATACTCTAATAATCAAGTTTTAGACAGTGTATATATACTATAATATACACTATCGTTCGAAAGTTTGGGGTCAATAAGATTTCAATAGTTTTTTACTCAGAAAGACACATTAAATTGATCAAAGTAAGTTGATAACAATAAGAAATGTTTAAGAATGAAGGATCATGTGACAGAAGACTGGAGTAATGGCTTGTTACATTTTAAAATATATTACAATAGAAAACAATTATTTTAAATCAGAATCACCTTTAAGTACCACGGTTTTGGTAGGTAATTCAAGGTAATTCTGTTGGTGTAGTGGTGCTTAACAATAACAGTAAAATACAAGAAATAATAATAAGATAAACATTGTAAAAAGAGAGAAAGTCATGAAAATAAGAAGCAAAGAAAAAAGAAAAAAAAAAAAAAAAAAAAAAAAAAAAAATATATATATATATATATATATATATAGCTATGAAACATAAATATAAAAATATAGGAAAAATAAAATTTTAATATTATTTCACAATATTGCTGTTTTCATTGCATTTTTGACCAATAGGCCTAAATGCAGCCTTGGTGAGCATAAGAGACTTCTTTCAAAAACATAAAATCTTAAAACATAAAAATTACCCCAAACTTGTGAACAGCAGTGTATTTATATTTATTTGTTTTTTACTTGAATAAAACAAATGAATTGTTTTCAGTGCAGAGTGTTTTTGTTTCTTGTAAGGAAGTTGATTTCACAGATTTGTGTTTGTGCACAGGTGACTTGCAGCTGCAGTAGTTGTGAATTCCTGATGTCTGTGCAAGGGGAACTTCTCACTCTCCTTAACAGGGACTGATGTGTTATTTTGGTCATTATAATGCTGTTGGGAAATAGAGGGATACCTCGTCCCCTTCCTCTACCTCTGTCTGCCCCCTCACAGAAGTGGCATCATTCTGGTGTTCCTCTCCAGTGCCCCAACCCACTTAAAGTGTCATTAGCTCATTAATCACATTGGCACACTCACAGGAGGCCTGAGCTCTTGCCTGACCTGATGGAACAACCACCCTAAGCAATAAGCTCTTTCCATCAGAAACCCTTCATTATTTCTCTGTTGTTGAATGTGTGGGTGGGTGTGGGTGGTGGGTCTTAGAATTATTGGGTAGGACGACAAAAACAGTTTGTTTAGTTAATGAATAATGCAGTATGGAAATGTTATGGTGCAGATCAAGTTGTATTTGATTGTAGACTAAAATCATGAGAGATTGGCCTGCAGTCTTTTGCGTGCACACATTTCTGTGTGCCTTCCACCCAGTGACAATGTGCTGACGTTGTTACAGTCTCCAG